AAGAAGGCCATGCAGTATACAAGCAGGCAAGCAGCAAGACACTTATACATGGAAAAAAGGAAAAACAAAAAAAAGTGAGAGTAAATGAGAGAGCGAGTCTATGTGTATGTGCAATTTTCCGAGACACACATACACATGTGCATCTACAATAAGCAAATTTCTTCCTTTATCATTCATCATGGTTGCTTCACATAAGCATGTGCACTCACCATGGTACCACCAAATATTTTATCTCTGTTCCATTCAATCAAAGCAGAGCCATCAAGTAGATTTTGTTTTCTATTTCATTGAGTGCAAGCATCAGGAGTGTGTAACACACTGAGTGCAGGGTCCAGGAAGTATGTATCATACTGAGTGCAGGGGTAAGAAGTATGTAATGCACAGTGCAGGGAATAGCGTTACATAATGCACAGTGGTCATAAGCGTGAAGCACACAGGGTACAGGGGCCAGAAGTAAGGCACAGCATGCAGTGGAGCAACATGCATAATGCACAGTACACCACCTGAAAATAAATAAACCTCAACAAAAATGACTCCCTGAAATGTACTTACCAGACGCTGGCATTGCATCTGCTGGGGTGAGCCGGGTCCTGAAGAAAAAACTGCAAACGGTCGCAGCTTCGGGACTCAGGATACTAATGGACTGCAGGGAAATGTTCCTTTTGTGGTGTAACCCTCTGGCTAGTAGTAGTCACATTCAACTTGATTTACTCTGTAATGTTGAAGATGTTTCACTGCTCTTGCGAGGATATTGCTAAGCTCTCATGATTATAGCAATGGAAGCTAATTAGATGAGGGGCGAAATGTCTTTATCATTACAGAACATGTCCAGTTGAATGTGACTAACTACTACTAGGTATACCATGACCTAGATAAATGGGAACCTTCACAGAAAACCTTCTAGCTATACTGATACATCAGTGGTGTGTAAACCAGAAGAGTGGGTCAACAGAATTACACTAATTGGGCAGGTATAGCTGTTCTCATAAATGTATGAGAGGCTGCAGTTCATCTTTTAATGGCCAGTCTAACACTGTTTGAACAAAATTTCCAGCCAATAAAAAGGCAAGAAAGTATAATAATGAAGTCAGCCTTCTCTGTCCTTTATTGCTGCAGCTCATCATGCTTTCCTATGGCAGATATTAACTGATAAGGAGTCAGCTGTGTGACTGACATCTTATCCATTAACCTATAATAGTTAATTAAGCTCTTATCAAGTACAATCATTTGCTGTTTTCTTTATGAATATCAACCGCTTTATTGGAAATGACAGAACAATGTAGATTGATATAATGGAACATGATATTCAAAGTAAACTATAATATCTCCCAAGGATATGCTTCTTGCAGAAGGACATAAATGATATTGTGCAGGCATAACACATACAGTAGAGCATAATGCAACCTTTCTGGTTAATTTAAGTTGGAAGGCATGGCAGCAAATTCATCAACCTTCTAAACAACAATAAGGCTCCATTCACTCCTGAGCGGCTCTACACATGTATTCGGCTGTATGGATACGCACAGAGCCGCACTAAACACAAAAAACAATGCACTTCAATGTGCATTGTTCATACCATCGCGGGGACCGTGTGGCCCCAAAATAGTGCAAATGCGATAATCCGGCGTATACCGTAAGTTCATGGCAATTTATCAATAGTCGTCCCGCACAGTCTTCCGCGCGGAAAACCATGCGGGAACCGCAACCGCTATGTGTGAATGAAGCTTTATTACTCTTCTTTCTCTTATACTGTATGCCTGTCCTTTAATTTACCTCTTTAATGTGCAAGTTTACCTTTATAACTTTTAATACACAATTTATTATTTTTTTAAACTGCATCCATTAATACATCCATAAATGTTTGTTCTTTTAATGCAAGCAGTGTAAGTCTGAATATTAGCCTCTTGTTGTCCCTGTAGTGCAGAGCTCAGAGAGGGAGAAGCAGCACAAGGAGCCTATCAGTTGTGTTGCAGTGTAGGGAGCATGCTAATTGGAAGAGAGAGCAGAGTGTCACAGATCAGCTTACCACAGATTCTTCTTAAACTCTCTAGTCGGAGTCTGGAGGTGGAGGGGAGAACTGTAAGCAATGCCTTGTATTCGTTGAAAAAATACAAGGTATTTTGTGAATAGATAAGCAGTGAGGAGGGCCAGATGAGGCAACTGGAGTACTTTGCTGCTCAAATCACATCCATAACTCCCCGCAGTGCCCGGAAGCCCAGCGTTATGTGTCAGAGCTGGCATGCTACAAGCTGGCAGTGGCCCTTCATACATAACACATCTTTTTAATGATAATTTACACATCCAGTGCGATGTGAAAATTATTATTTTTTTTCCTGGAGTCTGGCTTGAGAGAAATATGGGTGCTGCTGTTGCTGACCTACTTATGAAGCTGCTAGTTGCCTGGATATTACACTTCAGTACATTCTGAGTCACTGCCCTGGGACAACTATACAGATCAGGATAGTCAGAGCAAAGTCAGAAGTTCCTATATGTATACTTGTTCTGGGTTAGTGACTCAAAGTAGTAAAGCCGTAGGGTTAGCATAACAGTCAGGCAATTAAATGTTCATGATGGATATCCGACTCTTTTTCATAGAATGTTTACCTCAAAATCTGTACTGTGCTGGCGATGTAAGAAGGAAAGCAATCCCACATTTGGTGGGATTGTGTATACATTTTACCTTTTTGGATTCGTACTTTCGAGATCTATAATCAGGTTGTAAGCTCTTCAGTGGTTCCTTCTCCTGAAATAGCCCTTCTTTAAATATTTCCAGGTTCCATATCCAAAACTGAAAAAGATCTTCTTAGATTTTTTTTGTAGCAGCAGCACAGGTTTTAATCCTGCGGCATTGGGGTGCGCAGGATGTTCCACTATACATGAATGGATAATGGAACTGTGTGAGATCATGCGTTTTGAGGAACTAACAGCCTATATTTACAATAGTCAATTTCAGTGGAAAGACACGTGGATGCATTTTGTTTATGAATACTGAAGTATTTCGAGCTCTATGATGTATGTAGGTTGATCTTCTCATGTGGGACATAAACAAGGTGCTATTATATGTATTTAAGAATTGTTTTGGATATGCAGGTCGTTTAATGAATTCCAGGACTGCATGGGCAGGGATTTTGTGTGATTTTTTTTGTTGTGTGTTGTTTTTTGTTGTCTGTTGTGTTTGTTTTGTATGCGACAGGTTGAAGGTCGTGAAGTTCCTATGTAGGTGCATGATCCACCCCTTGCCATGTGCAAGATATAAAAGGCTATTGTTATAATGGAATCTAATGTAAGGAGTGAATTATATGTTAAAAGGGCCTAGGGATTAGGTATAATATGAATCCGTAACATTCTGTAAAGATGGTTTTAACCCAGAGAGGCCCAAGATATTAGAATGACTTTGGTATATTTATAAATATGTTTAATATGTCTTATAAAAATAAATAAAAACTTAATAAAGTTTATTTAAAAAAAAATAATTTAAAAAAATATGTTAATGATGGCAGCTCCCATGTTCTATGGAAAAGTTTCCTTTCAGTCAGTGTCATAGTGAATGCAAAACTAGATTACGTTTCTTTTTTTGGCCGTATATTACTATCAGTTATAGTGTGGATGATCATTATATTCCTAACATTTTATGTGGTCTTGTTAGTGATGATGGTTAATTCGCAATAGTAGAACATCCTTGTAATCTGTTGGGGGTGTTCTATAATGTATGGAAATATATTTCATAATATACAAAGTTGTTTTCTCTTATTTTTTGAAAGCCTTTGCATTATGTATAAATAGTAAATCATTGTGTGAATGCATGCGTATGTTAGAGTGAGTGACAGGGTCCAACCCAGCATTTTATACGTTTTACTGACTGTGTATTATGCCATTTTTAAATTGGCAGTAATATGATATTTTGAAGATACATAAAATACAATGTTTTTTTCATATTTCTTTAACATTTTGGATTTACTTCTACAAAAATACTATATCAATGTTCCTTAGTATTTAGAAAACAGATAAGGAGATGGCTGACAGGCCGGAATAGAGCCAAAAATCAATACTACTCCTAGGTCAGCCTCGCACACAGTCTGTTCATCACTGCTTGCTGCTATTATATACTAGGGTATCCTCCCTGTGGTGATGGGTATATAGTAGACAGAGGCCATGATAATGCAATGACTGCTCAGGTTCTATTGCATTCACTTAGGTTGTGCAGACATGAAAAAACTGCCAAATGTCTGAAAGCTTCTGCTAAAAACTCTGCTTAGAGCCGTTCTTTCATTGGTCAAGCTTTCCCTGTGCACACAAACTGAGCACATCAGGCATACTTGAGGTGCCACAGGATATTGTTCTGGTTCACTATATCAGAATGAGCTCCATTGTGTTTTTACTTATGGTGACTCTGGTTTCCCATTTGGACTGCACTCCGTTGCCTCTACTGTAGATATTACCCCCCTTAAAGCGGACCTTTACACTCAAAAATGAAATTCTACCAATGCATCCCTCTCTGTATGATGATTAATATTAACATAGACATGGCAGGTGTAAAATGCTGTGATTTTGAAATACTTACACTTGCAAAGCATTCACTTCTTGTTTTTGAAAAGACAAAATGTCTTCAGTTTGCCATAGCAATGCACACTGGGATTGCCTTGTCATCAGCAGAACATTGCTGGGAAATCTCATTTGTAACATCTCAAGATCTCAGGGAAAGGCATTTTCCTCCCCTGAGATGATGTGCATGGTCACATGTCCTAGTCACATGTGCCAGAAATCCAGAAGATTAGAGAAATAAGGTATGCAAAGAACACAAAGTCTGCAATTATCTAGAAGTATGTGTTTGAAGATTGTCATTACTAAACATTTCTAAAGGTGTGTTTGTTGTTATTTTCAAGATATGGGTAAAGGTCCGCTTTAATGCTCCTTGTACCATTTTACTGTTTAGGCTATGTACAGTATATTTTATGTGATGTTCATATCAATCAATGTTTGACTACAGAACCACAACTTACCTCTACAAAGCTGAGTTTCAGCTTCTCCAGTAGGTCTGTGTGCTCTCTTTCTAAGACAGCCAGTTTCTTTTCTCTATTGCTGGTATCTTCAATGGTTTGCTGTTTATCAGTTCCCTCTAGGCAACTTTTATCTTGCATTAGCACCTTTTGGAAACACAAACATTTTGTAGAAATTATAATTTTATCTACCATTTTGTGAATTTCTTTTTTTTTTTACATTAAAGTCGTAGTCCAGGAGAAAAATTATAATTCGCAAACCACACTGGGTGTGTAAATTATCAATAAAAAGATGTGTCTTATGTGCAGTGGGCCTCAGCAAAATCTTACCTTGCAGCCTGTACATAACACTGTTGCATCACCAGCCCCTCCTCACTATTGCCCATTTGTGTTAGGTGATTGGAGAAAGAGGGGGTCAGGCATGTAACATCATCCCTTCTCCTTTAATTACAGAATTCCTTGTATTGTTTGAAAAAATACATGACATTTTGTGATTGGGCAGGTAGACAGGAGTCTCGTCATTCACTCCCTGCAGTGCCCGGTAGCTTGGTGTTATGTGCAAGAGACGGCATGCTGCAAGGTAAGCTTTTTCTACTTTGCAGTGGCCCTCTGCACATAACACCAGCTTTTTAAAAATAATCTACACACCCAGTGCAGTGCAGTCTGTAATGCCAAGCTCTCATATGATATTAAAATATTCGCTCTCGTATAATACTCAAATCTTTGTCTCCATTACCAAACAAGTATACCTTGTTTGCTCCCATGTTGTCTGTTACACATACCATTGGAAAAGTGTTTTGTTATACGTGTTTGATAATTGCATAACAGGAGGGGGTGATGACTGTCTTGGACAGAAGGTGAGACTATGTACAACTTGGGTGTGGATTCCGAGGGGTTCCATAAGATACAGGAATTGATATGAAGACTAGCACAGGTGCTTGTACCTTTACTTTAGTGGCATTGTTACCTTAGACACTTTAAGGCCATGACAGGTGCACTTTACACAGTAAATTTGACAAACTGCCATATTATACCGCTCGCTGATTCTGGGATACCCTCTCTATAGGGGCACTGAAGCATATTCTTACAGTTAGGGACAAAGTATTGTACATAGAACCGTAATACGCTATTTATGTTTCAAGCATACCCCAAACTGCTTTGTAAAGCATTACTTTGTGATGTATAAGAAACCCATAAAAAAAAAACTTCTTGCAAATGCTATGCCACCAAACAATAAAGTAAAAAAAAAAAGAACGTTTATTTTTTAGTTCCTCATTTAGATAAAAGAAATCTGTACATACTCTGCTTACATAGTATGTATTTAACCCCTTCGTGACGGGAGACGTACAGTGTACGTCCCGTCACAAAGTGGCTATATGACTGGCCAAGTACACTGTACGTGCCAAGTTATATTAGCCTCTGTAATGCTGGTAACTGCTGATTCTCAGCAGTTCCAGTCATTAATTAATGCCTCACTATTGAGACATTCATTAATGAAATAGTTAAGCTTTTTTAACCTCTTGCCGTCCGCCCGTAGTAAAAAAACGGACGGACGGCACTGCAGCATCTGCGGGTTGCCGTCTCCAGACGGCAATTTTTTTCTGCTCGCGGCAAGATGGGGCAGCGGATCCCGGGACCGGCTCCGAGGGCGTCAGGAGGAGGAGGACGGGAGATCAGCTCCTTGCTGATCCCCGTCCGGGCTGTGAATGCAGAAGTGATGTGTGTTACATCACTTCCGCATTCACCTGTCAGTCATCTGGAGAGAGAAGAAGCTGATAAAGCAGATCTCTGCTTTATCAGCTTCTTTTGGGGTCCATAGGTGATATTAGGGGTCCTAGAGACCCCTAATATCTCCATAAAGAGGACCTGTCAGTGTGCCTTTGCTATTATATAGGGGGTTGTTATCCCCCTATATAATAGCAATAACAATAAGTGCAAAAAAAAAAATATAAATAAAAAAAAAGAAAAGTAACACATAAAATAATAAAATAAAATAAAAGCCACATATAAAAAAAGGGGAAAAAACCCCCCCAAAATGTTTAACTCCCCCACCCCCACGTTTACGCGCCTATAAACGTAAATACGCGTCCGGTGCCCCAGCGCGCAAAAATTACAATTGCGCTACACATGTTACATATCGCCGCGAACGTCGCAGTGAGAGCAATCATTTTAGGGCCATCAATCACTGATAACACTAAACTGATGAGCGGTAACAGCTTTTAAAGCGTCGCCTAGGGCCAATTTTGGGTATTATCGTTTTTTGAGGTTTCGCACGCGCACGCAATTTTAAGGCTTGACATGTTTAGTGTCTTTTTACCCGACGTGACCCCATCTTTTATATTTTACCAAAAAATTGGGTAATAATAAATGTTTTATCATTTAGAATAGGGGAAACTGTTTTTTTAAAAAAAAATTCGGTAATTTTTCCTTAATATAGTAAAAAAATAAAACCCCCGTGGTGAATAAATACCACCAAAAGAAAGCTCTATCTGTCCCCAAAAAAGGGTATAAAATTCATT